AAACAGGCAATGATCAGGAAAAATGAGATGCAACATTTAAGAGCTGTAGTGAGTTTACTCACAGAAATTAAATTAAAAGCGAACTGTGGTAGACTCAATACAGAGGATAGGGAAATTAACGGAGTAGGGGTAACAGACCCAACCCAAGAACACAAGAAGTTGACCCATCAGCTAAGTAACATTAGACGAGGAATTATGTGACTGATATGATGAAAAGACTAAGATTACCTGTCATGATCTGTGGCACCAGAATCAATGACCCATTTGGAGGATGAGGAAATAAGACATGTTTTTGGTTTACCTGACTCGGCGAGAGCAGTGATGGAAGTAGATGAGGACTTCAATGATTCTGATACTGAGAAAACTTGGCAAACTCATCAACTGAAATCATAACCTTTTTCAGAAGTATCAGTAGCGGCAACATGAGCTGACTGAGTTTCTGGGTCTTATTTTGCAACTTTCTACACGTGCGCTTTGTATGACCGGGTTCATGACAATAGTAGCACACAATCCCTCCTGACTCCTGACTCCGATTCTCACTAATTCAACCCCCTCCTCTATTATTGCTCCTGTTATATGAACGCCCAGTGTCATGATTCTGACTTACAAGAGCACTACTCGATTGAACAAATGGAGTGCTTTCTGTACGAAGAACCCTAGTAAATATGTCTTGGAGGGAGGTGATCTCAGAACTAGCAAGAACCTAGATTTAGCAATTCAAGCTCAAAGGGAGTCCAGCTAGGAAACTCATAATCGCCATTTTCTCTCGTTGAGCTTGTTGAACTTTCACATCAGCACTCACCGGTGAAGAATGTTAAGTTCTTCATATGTCTTTTTAAAATCCTAAAATAAGCCGTAAGAGACCTATCTGTTTCTCAGCTCGATAAAAAGCTTTGCATACATCAAAATACAGAAACATTCCCTTTCCCAGAATACAAAAATCTAGATAGTCCCTCAATTCCTTCACATATTCACAATGATTATTAAACCAAGTACCTCACTATTGATGGAGTTCCGTATCTGCAAGAACAACCGGGCATCCTCTCTCAACCATGTTTGTTTTGAATCGTCTTCAGATGAATCTTTGGTGAAATGATCATTTTTACCAATGCTTCGCAGATAAAGACAATTGTCTTACTCCAATCAAAATAGTTATCAGACCCATTAAGCTTATGTTCCGTAATTTTTGACATTACAGGAACCATATCAATTATAACTTATCTTCATGGTAAGAACGAAAATAGCCAACAAAAACTCTTCAACGAACGAACTCTATATCACAGAAACAAAACTGTTATCAACAGAAATCAACAAAACTGTTCTGACCTGGCTGAGAACTGAGGAACTAATCACACAGACTTGTCGGAAATAACAAGACGAAGCCGGAAGGGTGATCGGAGCACTTTCCTCCGTCACACGCGCCCACACGCGCCGACGCATGGATCGACGTAGATGAAAAAAGGTGGCGCGTGAGACTCACGCGCTACCTTCTTCCGTGACCGGACTTCAGGGAATGGTCGATCGACAGACAAGGCTTTCTTCCTAGGTGGGTGAGAAAAAATGGCCACTCTCCGGGTGACTCACGAAAAGGCCACTTGGGCAGAAGAGAAAAAAAAAAAAAACAACTGAAAAAATAAAAACAACCTAAAATTGCTTGTATTGCTCTGATACCATGTTACAACAGAGACTGATTGTAATTTTCTTATGTATTGCATTGACAAATTATACATCAATATATAGAAATAAAGAACAATCTAAAATAAATAATCTAATCTAAGAAATAAAAAATCTAACTTCCTATTTTACAGATTTGTTCCTATTATGTATTGATTACAATCCTAATATCCTATTATAATTTATTTACTTAATCATGCAATATTGTAAGATTTTGCATGATTATCTACAACAGTTGTCAAGGCAGTTTTGGACTTCAAATACACAACTTGTTCTTGAGTGAAACTTTCCCACAATTGTAGATCTTTGAAAAATCCCTCCCATTGTGAAACGGAAGCATTCTTCCATAACGTATTGCACCCAGAATTTTTTAAACGATAGATACTCAACCTTTGTGAAAGGATCTTCTATGTGATTAACATTTCAGCAAGCAACTGCCTACCACTCCTCTTGATTAATCTCCAAGTATAACCTCACTTCTTTGCTCTCCATCCTTTGTGTGGTCTTGAAAACGAGAAGTATCTGCAAACTGTCCACATTGTAAGGAAACTTCTTGCAACTTGTGAGATGCTTGTGTGTCGAAGAAGTGCCATTAGCCACATTATACAACAGATCTTATCACAATACACGCACTTTTCCGCTCAATCTTGTTGGTTCTCTTGCTAACAATGTTCTCAAAATGTTGCCACATCTCGACTTAACATTTGGCCTAGGCTGTGGAGGCCTATTTGAGTTGACTTTGCAGCAATAGTGGCTGCATCTTGAAGCTCAATGTTTCTCTAGTTGATGACATTGTTCTTGCAAAGATTACTATATAAAGAATTATTTAAAACAATAGAGAATAAATTATTGGTTGTAGAATCCACGTAATTTTCCAAATTGTCCGTCAAAGATCCAATGTCCACAATTGATTTTATAGTGTAAAAGCAGCAATTCAAGTTGCAGTAGTAGCAAGCGTGTTGCTGCAATTGCAGCAGTATAAACACACCATTTAGCATCAATTTAGAAAATGGTCCTTTGAAGAGTGAATACTAGCACACCCAAGTAGCATCCCGAAACTCCTATTCAAGAAATGTGTTATCCTTGTGATATGTGTACGATGTTGATAGGGTAAGTGACATCATAATACCACATAGGGTTGATATATCACTTAGATAAAATTTATTGAAAACTAATCGGAATGTAATACATTATGATGAAGAAGATATTAACTTTTATGGTGTATTCCAAGTTCCCATTCTTCTCTTCTCAGCAAACAAAACATTAGCATTTCAAGTGCAATACTTGTTTTTCCTTCGCAATAAATTCAATTCATCATATAGAAATATTTGGTCATATTTTTACTTTTCCATCACTCCCAGGATGGGCAAGATAAAAAACCTATCACACACAAATACTAGAGGCACCGTCATTCCAATATAGAAAATTACAAAAGTTATTATCTCCCAACGATGACACACAACACTAGGTAGTAAGATATCAAAGCTAAGTTTTCAGTGGGTCACCTAAAAATCTAAACAAACTAGATGAGGATGTACAATTGAACTATAATCTAGAATCTCCTTTAGGCAGGATTTGCATTCATCTGTTTCCAAAATGACATGACTTTATAAGCTATTATGTGGACTGATCCATGTTTAGTTAAATCTTTTCAAGTGAAGCGAAAAAACAAACCATAAATCATCACAATATATTGGTAGTTACCAGGAGATTGCAGCATGCTTCTAAGGAGCCATTTTAATTTATATATAACAGCCTTGTGTAATTTGGAGAGAAAAAAAGAAACCATCAGATACATTACTGTCAATTGCATTTAGGTTTTGGTCAAAGAAAATATCGATAATTTTTTGGTAAATCACTCATTTGTTTTTGGAAAAAAAATTTCAATAGTCAAACATGTATCACGGTGTAAAAAATCACAATCATGATAATGGAAATATGGGTACAATATGCAGAGGGGGAGGCATCAATTAAGAACTTTAAACACCATTCATCATAGAAACCTTTATAATGGCCACATCTCGAAATACATGTAAATTGACCATTTTACCCTTCCATTCAAAAAAGAAAATTACTTAAAAAGGTAAATTTCATACCTTAGGGCATCGGAATGATAACGTGGGGTTTACATAACCTCTCCCATATCCGGGAGTGATGAATCTTTTGTTGATCCACCGTAGTCTTGATACACCACTTGGTGTAGCCAATTACTACCATATTAATAGCTCTGAATAGAACTACGTTAGGCTACTGTCAAACTACACCAATCGGTGCACAAGGCGCTTTGGTGATCTCAATTCTAAGGATCACATGCACCACTAGGATTTGTTCCGTAGACACTGGGGTTACCATCCATATGGAATCCTCTGGTGGGTCTGTCCAGTAAACTTGCCTATAGCAAGCACCCATGCATTGCACCATGTTGTTGACAAACAACCTTGACAAGTGAGATCAGTCACTGTCTTTCGACAGGGTCGTTCAACACTATAATAGTTTTATTGTATTATCTGAGTCCTTGGTCAGAATAATACTAGGGCTACGAACATTTCTAGAATGACCATCATATGTGATCATAGGGTTCTTACTATTAACATTTGAAACACTTGATATCCTCATCATGGTCCTACCATCCTAAGGACATATATCAATACATACAGATATGATTTACACGATATAAAATAAAATGTTTTTTATTGATTAATAAACATTATTACATAGAGTCAATTCTACAACAATTGATTGGCTCTAAGGCACTTACTCTAACATCTACTAGGAGAACTCTTTACATACTTAATCGAATTACGAATTCGGCTAACACAATCCTTGATCTCGATAAGACCATCATTCACAATGAAATTCAAAATATGAGCTGTGCATCTCATATGAAAATGTTCACCATTTAGAATCAGAGCATTCCTATCCACCAATCTCTCCCTCAAATAAGTCATTGCTAGATCATTAACAGTTGCATTATCCATCGTTATAATGGACACTTTATTTTCAATTCCCTAGTCCAGAATACATTTCTCCACCACCTTCCCAATCTCCCTACCCTTGTGACTACTAACTCTCACAAAACTTAGAATTTTCTTTTATAGAACCCATTTCTCATCAATGAAATGACCAGTGAGACATAAATAGCTGTAATTTTGAATAGAAGTTCATATGTGGTTGTTGTTACAAACAGAGAACTGATTGTAATTTTCTTATGTATTGCATTGACAAATTATACATCAATATATAGGAAAATAAAGAACTAATCTAGGAAATAAATAATCTAATCTAGGAAATAAAAAATCTAACTTCCTATTTTACAGATTTGTTCCTATTATGTATTGATTACAATCCTAATATCCTATTATAAATTTATTTACTTAATCATGCAATATCTGTAAGATTTTGCATGATTATCTACAACAGTTGTCAAGGCAGTTTTGGACTTCAAATACCACAACTTGTTCTTGAGTGAAACTTTCTCACAATTGTAGATCTTTGAAAAATCCCTTGCCATTGTGAAACGGGAAGCATTCTTCCATAACGTATTGCACCCAGAAATTTTTTAAACGATAGATACTCAACCTTTGTGAAAGGATCTTCTATAGTGATTAACATTTCAGCAAGCAACTGCCTACACTCCTCTTGATTAAATCTCCAAGTATTAACCTCACTTCTTTGCTCTCCATCCTTTTGTGTGGTCTTGAAAGACGAGAAGTATCTGCAAACTGTCCACATTGTAAGGAAACTTCTTGCAACTTGTGAGATGCTTGTGTGTCGAAGAAGTGCCATTAGCCACATTATACAACAAGATCTTATCACAATACACGCACTTTTCCGCTCAATCTTGTTGGTTCTCTTGCTAACAATGTTCTCAAAATGTTGCCACATCTCGGACTTAACATTTGGCCTAGGCTGTGGAGGCCTATTTGAAGTTGACTTTGCAGCAATAGTGGCTGCATCTTGAAGCTCAATGTTTTCTCTAGTTGATGACATTGTTCCTGCAAAGATTACATATATAAAGAATTATTTATAAACAATAGAGAATAAATTATTGGTTGTAGAATCCACGTAATTTTCCAAATTGTCCGTCAAAGATCCAATGTCACAATTGATTTTATAAGTGTAAAAGCAGCAATTCAAGTTTGCAGTAGTAGCAAGCTGTTGCTGCAAATTGCAGCAGTATAAACAACACCATTTAGCATCAATTTAGAAAATGGNAATAGTGGATTTGTTCCTTTATATATACAGCAGAAAAAGCATAAGTGGTTACAGATGCACAAAAATATTGTTAACTTTTTGTTAATAGCAAGATTTTTTCAAGGATTTGAACATATAACCTATTTGGTCTAATAGGCATTGATATAACGTTGGGTGATTTTTTATAAAAAAAAATTGTAAGAAATACCCCAATAATAGTATTTAAACTCTTGGAACGACTAATTAATTCCTGGTTCATCAAGTTTTCATCAAAAGCAATTTCATTCAAAACCTTGTCAAGCCTTAAATTCCTTCTAATTTTTAAATTCTGTTACTTTCAGAGTTGTATTTCGTTAATTGGTGTATATTATTTGCCTGTATATCATGTAACTTTTTTGACATTATGGTGTTACTAATTCCTGACCTGGGGTTGTCTATTTCAGTGTACAAAAAGAACCAAGAGACAGACCGTCAGCACAGGAACTTTTGGTATGTAAATCCTGTCTTCCTTTGTCCCTTTACTGTCTTGAGTACACAACTTTTATGTGGAATATGTGCTGAACTGATGTTTTTAAATTTTATTCTGCTTTTCTTTTTTCTCTTAATGTGAAACCCAGGAACATCCTTTCATGAGCATGTATGATGACTTGAATGTAGATCTGTCCGCTTACTTCACCAATGCAGGATCTCCACTTGCAACCCTTTGAAACTTGAGTGGTACGTCGAATGTTTGGATACAGTACCTATATGCAAAAGAAATTTCTATGTTTCTATTGAGTTCTTTTGAGAATACTCTATAACATTCAGTTTGGACTTTTTCAGTTACAAGTGCATGCTTTGAAATGTCATCAGTTGTATGGTCTTGTTGTGTATCTGTTTTACTTGTATAATGAGTTAATATTTTTCTCCCTAAGTTCATGCTTTTTAATGAAGAATAACATCTATTTTCCACATGGACATCCAGATTTTCTTTTTGGTTTTTGTAAATTTGAACCTCAATCCTTTATGTAAACTTCCAACAAGTTTTACAAATTTTTTAAAGCACTTCTATCAATAATTGTCTGATCTTATTCCTGAGCTGTATTGGATGCAATCAATAAGATGCAATTCTTTCAGTTTAGATAAGATTTTGAGACAGTATTGCTAGTTATATGATCAAATTCTTGATGAGGACTGGTGGCTTGAAGCATCCAAGTTAAGTACCACCTTATGATGTGGGGCTCAGTATTATAAAAAATTGGAATGATTCAAATGTGTCCATAGTTGTTTCTGTTTTAAGCTGTATTCCGTTCACAGTGCTGCATCTGCTGAGCTGATATGCTCGGGCAACATCTACTTTCCACCTTATAATTTACTAGCCTGTTGCCATCTGAACTTTGTTGCAGGATTTAATTGTTGAAGGAGTTCACATTTCGCAAACTAGCTTGAGACCCAAACGTGTGGGGAATTTAGTAACAGAGATTTTAGAAACCTGGTGAAAGAATCCTAGATGTCTTTGCGGTTGAATTCTAATAATAGTCTGTACCTCAGAGAACCTTAGTACCAGAAGCCTTGAAGCAAAGTTTCAGCTAACCAGGATAACCAGGTTTTATGATTGCATTGTTTGCCATGATGTCAACTACTATAATTAATTGTATGAACTCAGATAGAGATGTACCGTTTTATAAAATGAACTAAATTTTATTTGTTTATTTTCCTGCCGGAGTTGCTAATGCATAGGCAACTGTTTGAAAAATGACAATTTATCTCTTTTTTACAATCCTGCTTTTGACACCAAAACGCAGGTATTGAAGATATGTATCATTTTGGTCAGCCTTAAAGTTGTTGGTGCTGCTACTATTCCGGAATAACTTAGCCATGATGAAGAATTAAATGTTATACTAGTGATTGAAGATACAGTAGAGCATTTTTGTTAAAATAATACTGAATTTACTAAATACCAGAATTATTCATACAAAGCTGTTATGGTGCCATTGCCCATTTTAAAAATTGATGGGCTGTGCATCATGTTACTCAATAGTAATATTAAGAATTTGCTTTACCGGTTTCTGAAAGGGAACAACTATTATGATTATCCCTAGGTTTTTCTCTTGAACTTCCTTTGAGCTTTCAAGTCCACTACAATTACAGTGATGTTGTCTTTGCTTCCCTTGTGGATGGCAAGCCTTGCGAGATAATCTGCTGCAGCTTGAGCTGCAGGATCGACTCCTTCGCCACATTCTGCAGACAAGCCATCACTGTGCTTTTTGTGCCAAAGAAGGATTCGCCTTCGGGCAACATCACAGGCTTCCTCATTTGTCATCACATCCCATAAGCCATCGCTAGCTAAAATAAGGCAATCATCTTCTTTTGCTCGAGGAACAAGCATCACATCATCTGGGTCTGGAATTATCCATGGTTTCAAGTATCTATCACCTGATCACACAGTACATTATGCAACGGATTTAGATTTAGAAATCATATAAATGCCAAACCAAGTATTAGGATTTATAAACACAAACACATACATACCTATGGACCTTGACATAGCAAGAACACCAAAAACACGCGACCCATTCCACTGTATGACCTTGCCTCCTGCAGCTTCTATTCTTGCCAATTCATCCTCTCTATCTGGCTATTAACACAAAAATATTAAAAATATGAATATTTCTGAGAATGGCTAATGCCAAAAACTAGGAAAAACAATAAACCCATACTTTGTGGTCTACTGACAACGGCATGGGCACTTTTCCACGACAAAGAACTGCTCTTGAATCACCACAATTTGCCACTATTACGTGGGTTGGTGATATTATGGCAACCACAGCAGTAGAACCAACAGTTTCAGGGGCAACTGGTTCTGCACAACCCTTCGATGCATTAGCTCCTGCAATCTCAGCATCAACTTTCAAAAAACAATTAGTGAAGGCTTTCTTCCAAAGCTCCTCATAGTTGCCCCCAAAAGTTCCTTCACTCAATCTTGCCTTTTCAGTTTCTATCTCCTCCGCCAACGCCATATGGATGCGTTCGCGGCAGTAATTAGCAACCTGTATGTAAACAACACTCGATATTTATATATCCTTTGAATCTAGCAAGAACGTGAAGACTACACAAGAATCAGAAAAATACCTGAAACCCTCCATGCCCATCATAGACGCCAAAGAAATGGCCTGTTAAATGACCTGGAAGAATCGGATTCGTGCCATCATTCATAAGCATTTGAGTTGGAATTTGTAAAAATCCTGGTACAACTGCTACAGAATCTTCCATTTCTGGTCTTTTACCACAGATAGATGTATACCCCCAACGGGATACGTTCTCCAGTTGAAATGATACTCCCTGGCTTCCTGCTCTGCATATTTTCTTTTCCTGTTGCACTTCAGGACCCGATTCTCCAGAGTTATTCCCATCAACAGAAATTTGCTCAGCCTTGACCTCAACATTTGGTTCATCAGACTTGACTTTAACTTCACTATTGTCATCAATTTGCCTCCTATCTAGTGTTATTGGTAAGTCAGTCACAGAACTAGAATCCAAAGCTAAAAACTCCTCCCTAGAGATGCTAATTGGATCACTAACTACAGACGGAGAACCTGAATCATCAAACAAACGGTTACCACCTAGAGACATGGAATCATCTTTCCGATCATCGGATTCAGTGGAATTCTGACTACTTTCTTTTTCATTTAACGTTTTTGACATTCCACTATGATTATTTCTCCTGTTATATCCATTATTTCCACAAGATAACAAGCTTGAAGTGTCTGCTAAAAACTTTAGCCCAGAAATTTCCATTGCTGACTCGTTGGAGACTATGTTACTAAGCCTAAATGGAACAGCTACCGCCGTTGATATATCCTTCATTGGTTCTCTTCTACCTCCAAAACCGTCCAAAATCATCTTCACTACTATTCTTGAGCTCTCTTTTTTCCTCTTTACACAATTTAATTGGTCTGAAACGATAAAAAAAATTTGTCGATAACCCAGAAAAGAACTGATCACTAGTAGGCTTACGTAATTAACAGATTGCAAAAGACATTCAAATGACAGTAACACAAGTGATCTTCTATATAATCTTTGTGGCGATCAAAGAATATAGATATAGACTAATCAAGAAAACTAATACACGTTAGAAATGGATGCATCTAGACTCTAGAGAAACTTCTATATTAAATCCAATGTAACAGAGAAAAAGAAAGATCGATGAGACAAAATCTTCTTTTTCAACCATTAAACCATCAAGCGTTTGATGAGACGGATAGGAAAATTAAATGTCGTATCTTCACCATACCAAGAACCAAGGGAGATAAAAAGACAAATATAAGTTCATGAAAGAGGAGTTGAAACCAAAATAGAAAACCCCAGAAAAATATAACCAAATCGAATTCCCTGGATTTGAAGCAACATATCTCAACCTCTTGAAATATAGGTTCTTTCTCTTTCTTCAATTACTCACAACTAACCAAAGTGAAAAAATTAAAAAAGAAAAAGACACTGAGTCATCAACTAGCACCTACTCTTCCATTTTCATAAGCTCTAGAGATATCTTTCTTCAGACTTGTAAAAACATTTTCAAAACACAAACTACTTCAGAAACGAATTAAAAAAAAAAAAAAAGAAAAACACATGCAAGAATTCCTGAAAATAACGGAAGCAGAAACAAGTAATAAGATACGTTACTAAATATTATTAGAGAAGATGATGGGAAGAGTGAAATGGGTTTTAGGAAAACACACACGTGTCCATGAAAATAAGAAAAGTAGAATAAAAAATGAGAAAGGAGTGGGACCAAAGTGTCACGTAAAGGTAGAGGTCGGTGACCAAATAAAAAGATGACGTGTAAGGAAGACGAAGATAGAGTTAAAGGAGTTTAGACAAGGGAGATGGATGAAGGTTTGGGAAATATGCATTGCACTTGAAACTCTCTTTTTATTTTATTTAATCGTAAGAACAACAAGCTGACACCATTCTCAACTCTCAACACTCAACTCTCAACTCTAACCGTACAACTTCTCCCTTCTTCTTTCGACACTTGCCTTTTACTTTTCTCATCCATTTCTTTTTAATATCTTCCTTGTATTTTTTTACATTCAACCTCTCTTGCTAATGTGAATCGGAATAAAAGAATCATTTTGTAGTTCAACCAAACACACTAACTAATTTTAAAATATTATTAATGTAATAATTAAGGACACGTATTCATGTATTAAATTTTGATAAAAATTTAATATCTATATGTTTTAAAAACATGTATACATTATTCTTATAAGAGTAAACAACATATTCCCACTCAAAGTTTAACGAAATCCTAAATTGATATCTCTAGTTGTGTTTATTTTAGATTCTCACCCTGAAATTAACACTATTAGTGATTGTTAGAGTTGGTCAGAAATGATGAGTGAGGTCAACAAATAAAGGTATGAGTTTTATAGAAGAGGTTATGGGGAGTCCAATGGTGGTCTCAAAAGTGATTTTGGACTTTAGAATCAGTCGAAAAAAGCCAAAAATCGTTGGCTTGAATGCTGCTAACGTGAGCCACTTTTTAACTAACATGAGCTTGTCTTCGACCGAAGAAAGCGTCAGCGCACTTTAGGGTGCTAACGTGCACCATGCTATAGTGAAAAGTTGAAAATTTGTTAAAATAAAAAAAACGATGTTACTTTAAAGATGAGAATCTGGAATAAATACTATCAGCTTGGGATTTCGCTAAAGCTCGGATGATTTTCTGTCGTTTGCCATCTTATAAAGATAAAGAAAAGAGTTTTATAGTTTCATAATTTATAGATTCTCATTTTCATCCTAAACTACTTCTGTTGCCTTGTTTTGTGAATTGGGGTTAAACTTTCAAGCGAAGAAGATTATATTTTTATCAATGGAAAATGTTAGATATTTAATTAGATGTTAAATTGAATTACTAATCCGTTTCGTAATATATTGGTAAAACTATGAAATTTTCTTTAGACCCAAACACGCTATTTTATGTAAGAAATTTTAAATAACACATATAATAATAAATCATAATTAAGCTAACACAACACAAGAGAGAGGAAGAAAACTAGTCGAAAAATTGTTCTTCTCTCACATATAAATTGACAAATACACTCCCTTATATAGGAGCTAAACTCTAATTTTAATCAAACTAGGAATCCTAACATTACACAATTAAATTAGATACTAACACTATCCATCTATCTAGATTAGAATAGACTAACAACATAAGACTATTAATAAAAGAGATATGCTTGATTTAATTTCCTACCATGCCTCCCTTAAATCAAGCTCTAAGACTTAACGAGCGTGGACTCACCTACCAAACTTTCAATTTTCTTAGTGCTTGATCTATCACCTATTGACTTAATATGGTTCCCGAAATCTGTTACTTTTTCACACAATTTTATCATCTAAACGGCTTTCAAGCCGCTTTGTTAGATGATGTTTCGTCAAATGAAACATCATCTAACATGTTTTAGCATGTATGTCAACACATCTCTTGGTAGTTTTAAATGTGTCGATGAAGGTTTTCAGTCGACTAAACTCTTTGCTGTCGACATTTTTCTGGGGTGATTTGAATGGGAAACCAAGAATGAAATGGTGTGCTTGGGATAGGATATGCAAACCGTACAAGGAAGGGGGACTTGGCATCCGAAATTTCCATGAAGTGCAGAGGTCACTACACATGAAATTTGCTTGGAGATTGGTAACTGTTGATAATCTTTGGACCAAGTTTTTCCGCGCGAAATATGTGAAACACGGCCACATTTTCTTTGCTGAGACTAGAAGAAATGCTTCCCGTTTCTAGAAGTCTATTATGAATGTGCTTCCTGATATGGCCGAAAATGTGATTGTAAAGGTGAGAGAGGGCAGCTCTTCCTTTTGGTTTGATCGGTGGTTGGCGAGTGGGCCTTTATGTGCCAGTAGAGATTCAGGGCATTCTCAGATCACAATTAAAGATGTATGGGTTGATGGTTCCTGGGATGAGAATTACTTGGTGGAACTGGTCGATTTAGACAAAACAGAGGAGATTATGAACGGTGTGGTGGCTGGTAAGGTGGGAACTGATATTACCATTTGGAAACAAGATATTAAGGGAGATTTTACATCGGCTTCTGCGTGGGATCTAATCCGAGTGAAAGGCACTGAACATCTGGGCATGGACTGGATTTGGCATCACCTTCTACCGAAGAAATTTTCTGTGTGTATGTGGAAAGCCCATTTTAATGGGTTGGCGTTGGATTCTCGAGTGCAATAGCTGGGAATCCCGTTGGCATCTCGGTGTAATTTCTGCACTCATGGCCACACAGAAAGCTTAAATCATGTGCTTTGTAATGGGAGTATTGCTACGAAGGTATGGAAGACTGCAGCTATCACGCTGGGTATTACTCATGTCTATGGTCTTTCTTGGTGGTCGACTGTGATGCAGTGGTTAAATGTTTTCAAGAAGTCGAGTCACAGAGGGTTCTTCTCGATCTCATCCCGTCTATCATTACCTGGCATCTCTGGATGCGTCATTGCAAGGCTTGCATGGAGAACTCAGCTGAATCGGTGGCTAATGTTTGGTTGGTAGTGAAAGTATGGATACGTAAGATTTCCTCTCTTATGGTAAAACAGTGGCCTATCTCTGCTAGGGATGAGGTTATTCTTCGGGCTCTTGAAGTGCCTTATATTGATAGAGCAAGGGCTATTCCGAAACTGGTTTATTGGAGGAAACCGGCTGAAGGGTGGATTAAATTGAATGTAGATGGATGTTGCCGGGGCAACCTGGGCAGCTGTGGGGGAGGAGGTGTCATTCGAGATGTGCAAGGTATTTTCAAAGGGGCTTTCTCTTCTTCTTTCGGGCATGGCACAAATAATGAGGCTGAATTGAGGGCATTACTAGCTGGTATTTCTTTGTGTAAAGAGCTAGGTTTTAATTAGATAAATATTGAGAGCGACTCCACTTTGATTGTATCTTGGTTGAGTAGTCGAAAGTGCACGGCTTGGTACTTATGGGACTATTGGGTTGATCTTTTGATACTGTTAATAGACGTACATTTCACCATTAATCATCAATTACGCGAAGGGAATAACGCAGTGGATTTCCTCGCTAGACGGGGCGAGGAGGATAATAATAATACTTTTTTGGATTTTAATTCTTTGCCTCGTAAGTTGAAAGGCATTCTTCGGTTGGATAAGGTGGGTTTGCCTCAGTTTAGATGGTAACTTGACTTTTTGGGTTTTTCTTTGGTTTAGGCTTGTTTGTTTTGTTTTGTTTTGTTTTTTCTTTATAATTTTGATATCTAGGATGGTTTTTATTGAATTTCTGTCAATCCCAGGTATCCTGCTTGTTACCACGGTTTTCCTCCGCCACAAGTGAGGCCTATTAATAAAATTGGGAGGAAGTCACTCATGGACAAGTGACTTCGTCTCTTCTCTTAAAAAAAAAAAAAAAAAAAAAAAAAAAAACTCTTATCTTTTTAGCCCTAATCGTCATAGATTTTTTTCTTGAGCTCTTTTTTTATTTATTATTATTATTTTATATAGAAAGGAGAAAAAAATGTAAAAGAGGCCTAAAAAACGGCCAACCCACCTCAGGACAAGCTCTAGGTTAAGAGCAAAAGAATGATACCATCTAAGAATATCCTTAATCTTCTCTTTTTTCCATTCCCATTGTCAAAGAAATGAAACCAAGTGGAGATTAAAGAATACAAAGAAGCCAACCTACCATAGGACATGCCTGGGTAAGGTTCAAAAGTTTCCCAAAACAAGAACCATATGCATAAGCATTTACAAAAAGAAGTCCATGAACATGGACATTAGCAAGATTGAGCCCATTAACAACAAAAAGACAAAGTACAAAATCAATACCTCAAATCTTCCAATTGTCGAAGTAACCTCTTTTAGCACAGCCAAAAGTCGGGATGTCACATAACCAAATCACCTTACAACATCGGAAACCCATCATAACACATCTTACCATAATATCAGCTCCTATGGGAAATTTTAAATATGGACATGGGAAGACCTTATTTCTCGGCAAGTCTTCTATTGTGGGTGTTCTTTATGACCTTGCTAAGGTCCATAGCCCTTTCCCTCACCATATTCTTGATGGAGTTGTGGAGTGTATTAGCATCCTTGCATTGCCACCAAAAAACCAGCTATTCTTTTCTCTCCAAATAGAAAAAACTGTGGCTCCCAAACATAACTTCCCGATAGAGTATTTTAGCTTATTCTTTCTCCATCTACTTGCAATGTGCTCAACATAATCATTCCAAGGCCGGGTAACATACCTAAGAGAAGAGGGCTCAAGATTTCGGTTCAAATCCTTTGAGTGAAAGGGCAAGCAAAAAAAGGATGATCCATAGTTTCTTACCCATGATTACAAAAACAACTCACATTACTAGAAGTTGTGTTATACCTCATAAGTTTGTCCGTTGTTTGAAGTTGGTCCTTACACGCCATCCAAGTGATGATGGAATGTCGTGGAATAGCTTTGGGAAACCATAAAAGGTGGTGCCATTCCATTTGGTTTTTATGCACTTGAGTAACCTCCCAAGCTGATTTGATAGTAAACTTTCCAGATGCATTAGGCTTCCAAACAACCATGTCCTCCTCGCTCCCCTTTGGATCAAAGTCAATGGAATCCTTCA